CATTAGGAAGTGTGTATTGTTTGTAGTAATTAAATATTCTTCTTTTTCTGTTACATTTAGTTTTTGTAATTAAATTTAACAGTTAATTATTGTTTACTAAGTTGCCTTACATTAAAAAGTTTAAGAATATATATTCTAAACTTAACAGGAATGGCAGAAATTCATTACAGTTTTAATTTAGCCGTTATCGACGCATTAGACTTTAACTTCAAGTTCAATTTTATTTTCATCTCTTTTGAAAAATTCTGATTTGTTTGGAAATTCAATTTATTAAAGTTTAAATAAAAAGGGAATAGATATTGATTAATTAAGAATGTATTGGGTTTATGCTTTAGTAATTTTAAGAGGTTTTAAACTAAAAATATTTCAAATTATACTTCTATTACATTCTCCATCTTCTTTTATCCATTCTTCAGCACAAATCTAACAGTCAGTTTTAAGAGTCCCAAACATTTAATACAATACGAATGGCATTTAAAGATAAATAAATTAAAGTTAAATAATGCCCAAAAAGAATTTGATCCAACTAATGATGTAGGAATAAATTATATTTCAATCTCAGGATTCTAATGAGTAAAGTTCCAATCAATATTCTAAATACTTTCTTATGGAGAAGAAGCAAAAAATGAAATTGAACTAACAGAATTAATATTAAGTTTATAAGGAATTCCATCAATAGAAATATTAACAGAGTTAGTTAGCCCTTGAATATCAATCAGCCATATTTTCGCTTAAATTTTTATTAGATAATGAAGATCAAGTTTTATTTTATTTATTAATAAATCTGATTTCCCTAAAATCTGATTTCCTCCAATTAGAGATATTTTATCAAGATAAAATAGTTGATTAAGCAGGCAGAGTATTTCTTAATAGCCATCCATCAACATTTGCTTTAGAAATCCAATTAATTGGGATATCCATTTCTGGTTTACATATATCAGATGAATTCTCATTGCAAAGAAGGCAATCAGGAGCACATTTTAATATATCGAGATAGAAGTTATTAAATCCCCAAAATTCCTTATATAATTGTTAAGATTTACATTCGTCCAATTATCTAAATTAGTCTTAAGAAGAATAACTAAGGTTTCCGATTTATGTGGAATTATAATTTCAATTGGAGATTAAAAATCTTTATAACTGTATCCACATTAACTGGTACCTTACGAACAACCAAAATAATATTTCTAAACTAATTCATCAATTATTATATACAATATTTCGTTTTCCCAACAACCTAATCTATAAGTTGATTATTATTCTATTTACCTCCAGAAATTCTAATTTAATAATGAGGAGGGAGATAAAATAATTATTATACAGCTGTTCCCATTCCAAATATATAATATCCTCCAAGGATTTATTATTCAGAACAAACAGTTATATAATTTTGAGTACGTGCTCCTGCAATAAACCAAGCTATTTAAGAATGATTAATATACATTCCAATTCACTCATATTATTATTAACAAAAGAATTATAATAGTTATCCCATTCTTATATTTACGCTTTCACAACTTAAAGAATAACTAATTGGATTATCATAAAATAAATAAAATATTATTTGTAATAAATAATCCAATAAGAATCTCAATTATTATATTAATGAGAAAATAAGATTAAGATATCCTTTTAAGATGATCTATTCTTGTATAAAAATAATTTGGTTATAGACAAAATAATTAATTTGAGATTAATAAATTATCTTTTCCTAATCGTTATCCTTAAATATAAGAAATAATTTAATCAATTTTTGATCATGCATTTAAAAATATTAAATTAATGAAAACATGTAAATGTAAAATTAGATCACTTAATACCTATAAATAAAAAGGGAAATATAATCATATATTAGATAATTATCTAGCATTTTTGGAATTAATTAATATATAAACTCAAAAATTGAAATTAGAGCTTCAAAAAATTAAATCATTCAGATTCAGCATCAACCAATTCCATTTCATCCATTCCTTAATTAATTTACAGATTAATGATTACCCTTCATTTTTGTACTAATTTAAGAATGCCTCTCTTCTAAACATAGCTGTTAATTAATCATTGATTCTCTAGAAATTTCTTATATAGATTTTGAATTTCCACACAATGTTGCTGCTGATTTAAGACCTTTTTGTAATATATCACAAATCGAATATTTGATATAATTAGGTATCTATTCAACAAAATTTGAGGAACTCTTATTGATAAAATCAAAAATCATATATTCTATTTACACTGTTGAATATACCTCTTCCTTTTGGGATGACTGATACAATTAAATGTTTTCCGTGCTTGAAATCTTTATAATTGAGAATCTCTTGATGTATGTGGATCAATTCTAATCATTAAGAAATGAAGTCTTTGGAATGGAATCAAATTGAATGCCAATTTTCTAAAGTCCGAATTAAATTTACATGAAAATCTAAGAGAACATGTAGTTTCTGAAATTGCAGCAGAATTTATATCACCGTAAGTAGGCTGAGTTAATTTCAATTTGTTGATACAAATATCACGTAAGGTTTCATTATCAATAATCATGCACTAATTAACGTTTTCAATTAATTAATTAATTAATTGATAATATGCTACTATGTCACACAATTTTGTTTAATGTATACATCAATTTTCTGCTTCTTTTCTTACTCCATCTTAAACTTAGTCAATTAAAATTAGCACCCTCAGAATAAAGATCCTTTGCCTAGTTTTTAACTTTTTCTGTTTAATTAAAGATAACAATGTTTGGTTTGAAAATTAATCCTAGTGGTCCTGCTCTGACTGTATCTATAGAACCTAAAATGAAACAAATAAATACCAGTATTTCATTCTAAGTCAAAAAGAATAGCTCTTTGGAGATGTCTAAATCCTTAGACTTCATTACAATACAAGTTGATTCTCTCTAATTGAAGATCTGAGTTTATGAGATATGCTTGTGTTGAATTAATACAATTTTCATTTAAAAGATTTTCCAAAATTTAGAACTTATCTCATTACCACATAGACTTCGTTAAATATGAACTATTTCTCTCATTTAAATGACTATTGAGAAATATTTTCTCAAATTTAATTTATGAATTTAATTCCGAACAAAGTCAATGGTATTATTCACTTTCATTTATTTTATAAAAGAAAATATATACATGATTTGAAAAATGAGTAAGGCATATTATTTGTATATATTAACCTATTTAAGAAATTCAAATGTTTTATGTAATTCTATAGAACATTGAAAATGTACTTATCAAATAATTATAACGCTTCATCTAAATGAATACTTAATTTTTAATTAAAAAATAATTATATAATATTATTGTTTAGT